ATACCAAACAACCCAAAAAGACAGACAGGTAGGTCACAAGTGGTGCTCCATCCCCGTTTTCACGTCTTTTCTACACTCCATCAACTTCCGAAAGCTTCACCGCGGTGTTATTGCATTCCCCACTGATACAAGCCTGCCTCCGATTATTACCTAGCCTCTTGCACATTATGAAGGTCCATTGCTAGTATCCAGTAGGATTATCCTACTTTTTCAAACGGAAATACCTAGATACCGCTGGTGCTTGTGAACAGATACCTATCTACCGGGCTGTTGATGTTCGTTGATGTTCTTGAACATCAACCATTGTTCACTCCCTTCAAATCAGAGGTGAGTGGGGCCAATAAGACATCGGTTGCTTGATATTTGTGGTGCGGATTCGGGAAAGGTTTTGCCAGATCATCAGATGAATCAATTTGAGATGGTGCAGCTTTCTTTGGAAGCGGGGACGATGGGAGAAGGTGGAGAAAGTAGGCTCGGGGGCAGCTGAGTGTTGACTTCAGTGTTGAAGGGAAAAAGAGGGGAAAGGGCAGGGAGACAACCTCTCATTAATACATTTGCCAACCCAGAATATCACACCATAATGCCAGTAACAATAGACATCGATCCATTACTGACGCAAAACCCACCACCACAAATCCAAATAACCCCAGCCGAACCACCTCCCCGAACACCTTTCCAAAAACTGCGCACCCTTCTCCTCTCCCACATCCCCTTCCTTCCCAAACCCCACACCACCCCATCCTCCCCCCAAGCCCCCTCCTCAGACGTAAAACTCATCCCCCTCACCTCCCTCGACACCACCCAAACCGCCACATCCCAATTTTTCCTCAACCACCAAGCATCCACCCTCAACCACCAAGCATCTACCCTCAACCCACCCTCCTCACCAAACCCCGACACATCCCAATCCGCTTCACATTACACCACCTCCTCCCGCCGCTCCTCGCCCTATTCCGGCATCGTCTTCCCGAGAAGTGATGCGGCGCATGGGGGCAATCTCAGGAGGTTTTGTGAGGAGTTGTTCTTGAAGAAGTGGAAGGATTTCGATGAGGATATGGAGAAGAAGTATAGGAGTAGTGTTTGGAAGGAGTACAAGGTTGTTGTTAGGGTGAGTAGTGGGGGGGGGGGGGGCTGTTTTCTGCGGGGTTTTGCTTTTGGGGTCGAGATGGAGCTGTGGGAGGGGTAGTGGCCGTGGGAAGAAAGAGGTGGGGTGGGGGGGCTTGGAGGAGAAAGCGGACGGATCTCGCCGAAAACAATGTCTGCACTCCACCTGACGCAAATCTCACCCTCCTTCCACACACTCCCCAAAACCAGACAGCAGGCTCCCTCCTACTCGTCCACTTCCTCTACGCCTGCATAGTCGTCCGCCTAACACAAGAAGTGGCGTAAGTGTCCGCTTCCTCCCCCCTCCTCCACGCACTAACACCCTCCCCACCAGCTTCTTCACCCCCCTAATCCTCATAATCCTCTTCGGAATCTACCTCCCCATAACAATCGGCATGCTCTGGATCTCTTTCGACGGCACACCCCCCGACGGCCTGTGGAAACTCTTCATACTCGTCGTGAACGCGTTTTTATTCGCGTATGCGAACGTATATGCGATATTCGATTGTGCGGTTAGGCATGTTGGAGGGATGGGACGGAACGAGTGTTATGAGACGATGAATGGGAGTGCGACGTTGACGAGTTTTTTGTTTTATGGGCTTTTGGGGCCTTTGGTTATGCTTTTTGTGAGTGTTTTATATTTGTTCAGGTTGTTGAGAGAGAGAGAGAGAGGGATTGTTGGTTTTGGGTCTTGCCTTTTCCTTAGTGTTTTTTTTTTGTTTGGGGTATGAGGAAGGGATGTTGGTTTTGTGGGAAAAACTAAACCTGACTAAAAATTCTCAATTCCCGTTTTGCCGTCCCCCGTCTCATTGGTGGTGAACAAAACCCTCCAGATATACCGCCTAAACCGCTTCTGCTATCTCATCTTCTCCCTCCTCCTCCTCTCCATGTACCTCTACCTTATCTCCGGCGTTCCCAGCATAGGGCAACCCTACACCTTCGGCCTCTTCATGATTGGATTCTTCCTCCTGTAAGTTCGTCTTCACCCCCTGCTCTGTTTACCCACCCTAAACCCTCACCTCATCTACACCCCAGCTGCACCCTCCTCTCCTATTGGCAAGAACGCGTTGAACGCGACAACTTCAAGCTCCGCACCGCGTTAAAAGCGCAGGTTGAAGCCACGCGCGTTGCCCAGGGTGGGGAAATTCGTGAAGCGGCCAGTAAAAGGCGGTTTGTCTCCTATATCTTCCATGAAATTCGGGTCCCGTTCAATACAGCGGTGCTTGGGTTTCACAATATGGATGGGGATGGGGTGTTTGCGAATTTGAATGGCGGGCAGCAGCAGGTTTTGGAGGCGATCAAGAGCTCGTTTGGGATGATGGAGAGTGTTTTGAATGATGTGTTGGATTTTCAGAAGATGGAGGAAGGTGCGTGTTTTGCGGCCTTTTTTTTTTTGGGGGGGGGGGTCGCGCCTTTCGCCGGCGGGCGGCGGCGCGGCCCGCCCCCCCCCCCCCCCCGGCTGAGCCGAAAGCCAGAATGCAATTCGACGAATTCCATTCTTTGTTGTTTGTGGTTCAACCCATTTGGTTTCATACCTTTGATCCCACCTCTCACATGCCCCTCATCCTCAGGTAAATTCGAACTGCAAGCCCGTCCCTTCGATATCAACTCTACACTACGAAGCGTGGCAAAAAGCCTTGCTTCGACGGCACGGGAGAAGAATATCGCGATTGAGACGGTGGAGGATGGGAGGGTGGATATGTGGGGTGGACGGAGACTTGTCGGGGATGATATCCGGTATAGACAGGTTTTGAATAATTTCTTGAGTAATGCTTTGAAGGTGAGTTTTTGGTAGTTGTTTTGGTGGGCGGGTGGGGAGGTTCAGTGCATGATTTGGGAAGGATGGGAGGAATGGAACAATGGGAATATGGCGTTGAGAGCATGGCGGTTGGCCAAGGGTCGGGGTTGGAATCAGAAACCCAAAAAGGAGTCATTGACATCCCTTCCACCAACACCAGTTCACACCCCGCAACGGCACGATCCAAATCCTCACCCAACTAACCGAAGTCGGCAACACCAAAGTTCCCGATCCACCATCTTCTCGCCAATCCCAATCCCAATCCCACATTGTCGACCTGGACGCCGTTACATTGAGTGGCGAGCCCGGATCGACAGTGTCGGAACTAACACACGCGATGCCGAGTAGTATCACGGTGCGGACGAGCGTGAAGGATTCGGGGGTGGGGATTAGTAAGGAGGATATCAAGAGGATGTTTCAGCCGTATACGCAGATTAATAGTTGGGCTAATCAGGGGGGGAAGGGGACTGGGTTGGGTGAGTTTTGTTGTTTTTTGTTTTGAGGGATGTGGGTCGGGGAGTTAGTGATGACTGGACACGGAATGCAGCATTGGATCGAAATGACTAAACTTACAACTCATCACCGGCGCCCGCTTACAGGCCTAGCAATCTGCAAACACATTGTCCAACTCGCCGGCGGCACCTGCGGCGTCGAAAGCTCCGAAGGCCAAGGCTCAACCTTTTGGTTCGAAATTACCTTCCCCGTCTCCTCCGCCCCCTCTCCACCACATCCAACCTCCCAACTAACCTCCTCCACAAACATCTGCACGGGCATTGGGGTACGAAAGGAATCCTTCGGTGGCGGGGCTGCTAGTGCCACTTCACCACCCATATCATCTTCGAGTGATGGAAGTGGTGGAGCGAAGAGAGAAGTGAAGCACCACCATAGGAGTTTGAATGTGTTGGTGGTGGATGATGACGGGATTACGAGGAAGATGATGGGGAGGATGTTGGAGCAGATGGGGCATAGTTGTTTGTGGGCGGAGGATGGGGTTGAGGCTGTTGAGATTGTTACGGGGAGGGGGGTGGAGGGGTTTGTGGAGGGGAGTGGGACTGGGGATGGGGGCGTGGTGTCGGTTGATAGGGGTGGTGGGGATGTGGGTGGTGGTGGGCGGTTGGCACCATCAACAACAATACCAATATCGTTGACAGTTCCTAAAATGGCCCTAACACCCTCCACCTCATCCTCAACATCCTCCTCCTCCTCCTCCGCTCCCACATCCCCCACAACGCCTCTCCCCCTCCTTAGCAGCACCATTCCCGCACCCACACCCGCATCCGGCACAACACCGCAGCACTTTGACGTCATTTTAATGGACAATCAAATGCCGCGTATGACGGGCGAGGAGTGTGTGGCAGAGCTGAGACGAAGAGGAGTTGTGACGCCTGTGGTGGGGATTACGGGAAATGCGTTGAAGGAGGATCAGGAGAGTTTTATGAGGGCGGGTGCAAATTTGGTTATTACGAAGCCGTTGGCGAAGGGGAAGTTGGTGGGTGCGCTGAGGTTGATTCCGTAAGGGATTCGAATGAGAAGGGAACTGGCAGTTGCGAGGTGAAATCGGTGTTGGAGCATTCATTTTCTGTAAATAGTTTCCTTATTGGGCTTCTGAGCCCGTCTGAGTCGAGAAGGGTGTATGTTGTTGGCGTAGTTGAAGGTTAACGGGTTTCGGCTTCCACACGAAAAGTCATCACGTAAATTAAACAAAGTGGTAAATCAACAAGATGTACGTAGATGGAGGACGATGATGGTGCTGGTTGAGACGAGAAAAAATAGCCGCAGTATGTACATATTAGGAGGTGTACATGTAAATTGTACGTTTTGGGTTGAACTTTCTGTGAATATATCCCGGGGCACTTGTAATGTCTCTGTTGTCAAATTTTGGGATTGATTGTTCTGCGCTCCTGATGGCGGAAGGCCTACTCAACTTCAAAAACAGACGATGACTTATAATAATGGGTGACGACGATTTCATCACTGAAATGCAAGTACATAGGGAAAACTGCCCGATCAAAAAGAATGAAGAAGACTCGACACGAATAGTGCTCAGTACATAGGGAAAACTGCCCGCTCAAAAAGAATGAGGACTCGACACAAATAGTGCTCACTACAGGGATCGAACCTGTGACCTTGGCGTTTCTTTGTGGAAACATATTAGCACCACGCTCTAACCAACTGAGCTAAGCGAGCTGTTGATGTCAGGCTTCAAAAGAAGCATTATATATAACAAAACATAAAGAGAGAGGTGGTAGTTCATTGCAGTATGGCAAGGGGACATCGGGCACAAACAACGCATGGACAGGTCTTTTGCTTTCACTTGCATCAGACAAGCAATTCGTAGCGTCTGTGAGCCATTGAATCCAGGTTTGCTGGTAGCTGTGTCTCAGCCAAAAGTGCGGATGTGCACTGAAGACCAACAAGTGCAATTCGAGATGGACTCGGGGGCCGACGTTGAAAGTCATTCCAACGCACAGTGTCGCTTGTCGTATGTGCATCCTCTGAAAGCTTGAGCACGGATTCGCTGCACAATATATGCCTGTTGAAAGACACTCTTTTCTTAGCGGTTGTGGCGTGTCCGGTTTGCACTTTCTGGGGCACGAGTTGGGGTGAAATTTGTAAATTGGCACGATTTAGCGAGAAATGGATCAGTTAGCTCTCGTAGCTGGCCCATATGCATCCTCTGAAAGTCCAGTCAATCTAGTCAACCCAGTCACCCGACTTCAGAGGCTTTTGCTGTTCATCCATCCCTGGGCATAACCACGTCTTCCGTCTAGTCCTCTGAGACTACGCTGTCTGATACGTAACTGGTTATGTCTCATTAGTGCAGTCTCATTCGGACCCTGGATGCTGCCAGCGGATGAGCAATCACCGGCTGGAGCTGACGGTGCTGACGTGTCTTCTTGTACACCCGTTGTGTAACTGGCTAGTCGCGACTCGCAGCAGCATCGGCATTATGCCGCGTTCCACGATGGGGATTTGTAACTTCCAGGGGGCTCCACTACGTTTAACGCTCGGACTTCTCCACATCTCGATGAGAAACACTCACCTACCTTCCAGTACTATAGTACGTAAGTGTTGTCCAGCAGCACTTGCCCGACACCATTCCGTCTTGATTCGCACTTTACTCACGTCAACCCCGAACCCTCTTCACCTTCAAGCCCGGCGCACGCTAAGCCGAGCCATCCCCCAACATCCCCAGCACCCTCAATTCCCTCTGCAGTATAGAACAATGTCCTCAGCCGTCGCAAAGCGCCTAGAAGGCAAAACCATCCTCATCACGGGCGCCTCAGCCGGCATAGGTCGCAGCACCGCTCTAGAATTCGCACGCACCTCCCCCAAGAACCTCAAACTTATCCTAGCCGCCCGCCGCATCGATGCCCTCAAAGCCCTAGCAGAAGATATCAAATCCGAAGTCGGGGACGGCGTCCAAACTCTCCCCATACAGATCGATCTACAAAAGCCATCTGAAATTGTCTCTGCCTTATCCAACCTCCCAGCCGAATTTAAAGACATCGATATCCTTGTCAACAATGCCGGCCTTGTGAAGGGCATGGACAAAAGCCCTAACATTGACCCTGCGCATATCGATATCATGTTCTCCACAAACGTGATTGGACTGATCACTATGACCCAAGAGGTTATGAAGGGGATGGTAAAGAGGGGTGAGTCGGGGCAAGGAGATATCATCATGATTGGGTCCATTGCTGGTAGGGAGGGCTATGCTGGTGGTAGCATTTACTGTGCATCAAAGGCTGCTGTGCGGGCATTTACAGAGGCATTGAGGAAGGAGCTGATTGCCACACGGATTAGGGTGATGGAGATTGACCCTGGGCAGGTTGAGACGGTGAGTCCTTAGCCATACAAGGGATTCAAAAACACACTTTTGGGCACCCAAGAGCCGTTCTAACATCATTTCACAATTAGGAATTCTCTGTCGTCCGATTCGATGGTGACAAAGCTAAGGCGGATGCTGTGTACAAAGGAGTTGACCCTTTGACACCAGAAGACATTGCGGAAGTCGTCGTGTTTGCCGCTGGGAGACGGGACAACGTCGTCATTGCTGACACGTTGGTCTTCCCCAACCACCAGGTGTGTTACGCACTCTTCACATGCAAAGGTTGCATTGTAACAGATTGGCTGATGACACTATTGCTTTTATAGGCTGCCGCAACAGTTTTGCACAGAAGATCATAAACGTAGATCCAAATACATCATAGGCATGGGTTCTTCCACAACTTCACTCTCAAGACTTGCTGATACTTCCCAAGAGTTTACTCAGACTTAATGTGGTTGGACGGAAGAACTTCGTGATAGGAAAAGCGGTTTCAGCCCATGAGCCGCGGTTCATTTAATGAAAGGACCACGAAAGTTCAGGGAGCGCGTGGTGTCATAATGCACTCTATATTCCGCCTTGTTGCCGTGGAGAAGCGGTCAATATGATGGCTGGCGTGTGGGACGGTGAGCTCGTTAAGCGGTTGCATCATGAAGCCAGAGTCAGAATATATCTTGTTGGCATAGGAAACATATACAGGATTGAGGCAATGGGATGACCATGATCAAGATGACAGCGATGATCAAGAAGATATGATGGCGACATCTTTCCGAAATCATTTCACAATATGGTCCCCGCCGCATTGGCTTCGACACCTTAATTACCATGGTTGATTCCTGATGTCCATTTTAAAATGAATCACAGAATCACTTCATCAGCTTGTTGCAAATGAGAAAGAAGAATATACACCATATTGGAAGCCCATCAACATACATACAAGCGAAACCAAATATACAAAGTAAAGAACGTCCGCATAGCTAAGGATCTAAATTCTGCATCCCAACCAGCTCCGCGTACACCCCGCTTTTCGCCAACAACTCTGCATGCGTCCCAGATTCAACCATGACACCTTGCTCCATCACAACAATCTTATCCGCGTTCTGGATTGTCGATAGACGGTGGGCAACCTGCACAGATAGAATAATCAGGATTATGGCATCTGAGGCAAAGACTAGACAGCAACAATATCCCAACCAACACATACCACAATAGCAGTCCGATTCTCCATAATCCTATCCAGCGCCTCCTGCACCAAATGCTCACTCTGCGAATCCAGCGCACTCGTCGCCTCATCCAACAACAAAATCCTCGGATCTTGTAACAAAGCCCTAGCAATTGCGATCCTCTGTCTCTGCCCTCCACTCAACTGCGCGCTACTCCTACTCCCCACCATAGTATCATACCCCTGTGGCAACCTTTTAACAAACTCCTCTACATTCGCCTCTCTCGCCGCTGCGATGATCATCTCCTCAGTGACTTTATCCGGCTCAGCGGCTCCATAGGCAATGTTTTCTCGGATGCTCAAGTCGAAAAGGACGGGTTCTTGTCCAACGTACCCAACTTGAGTTCGCCATTTTTGGAGATCAATGTCTTTGAGGGGAGTGCCGTCGACGAGGATTTCGCCGTAGAGGGGGTCGTAGAAGCGTTCGAGGAGGGAGACGATGGTTGATTTGCCAGAGCCGGAGGAGCCGACTAGGGCGATGGTTTTTCCGGGTTCGATGACGAGGTCGAGGCCTTTGAGGACTAGTTGGGAGGTTCGGGTCGGGTAAGCGAACCAAATATTCTTGAAAGTAAGAGCAAGATTCGGTAGTTGCTTCGGGTCTTTCCCGCCGGCGAAAGCGTCGATTTTGGGTTTGCGGTCGAGGATGGAGAAGATTTCAAATGCGGAGTGTTTGGCTTTTGCTATGTCGCCAGCAAAAGCCGTTGCTCTGTATGAGTGAACAGAAGGTTGATATGTTAGCGTGATTTCCCGAAGCCAAAGCAAAGATTTCTAAACCCCGCATATGAGACAGACTTCTCACCTCCCACCAGCCATACTCCCAAACACCGTCGCAATCATAACCGTGAACATCTGCTGAACATTCACTTCCCCCCTTGCAAACAGCGTCCCACCCCACCAAAACGCCAACGCATTCGCCAAAAAGCCCAACCCGTTGCTGGCGGCATATCCTAACCCAACCACAAACGCCTGCCGATGTGCCTCTTTCAATGGCTCCTCCAACGCTTCATTATATTTCTGCAAGAACGTATCTTCTCGGCAAAGAGTTTGGACGGTGCCTTGATTCTGCATGGCTTGAATTGCGATATGGGCCGCGGTTTGGTATGCTTTCTTGGTTTTGACACCAAAGCCGCGGAGGGAAGCTACTTGCATTGCTCCTGTAATACAAAAATCGTCAAAAAATCATTTTGAATCATACTTCATCAATGGGAGGCCCAAGGCAGCGCTGCAACATCCAAAGAAAAACACCCCAACAAACTCACCAGCAAAAATCAAAAGCGGAATACAACACATCGTCACCACCGTAATTTTCCAACTAACAATCAACGCCACAATAACCCCTCCACCAATATTCGTCAAAAGCTGCAGCATGGTTCCGAATATCGTCGAGACTAGCAGATTGACACGTGCACTGTCCGTCGCGATTCGGGAAACGAGGACACCGGTACGATTCTCCTCCCTATCGAACCACCCGACTTCCTGTTTAAGCATCGCATTGAAAGTGGCGGTACGAAGATGAGTCGTGACATGCTCCCCGGATCGGCCGAAGAGGTAGAATGTGCCGAAGTTTGATATGCTTCAGTGCATGAAAAGGAGTGGACGAGATGAGGAAAAGCAGCAAAAAATGCAAAGAAAAAAAGACAACAACTCACGCAGCAAAAACCGCAATAACCAAAAACCCCCCAGCCCACCCATTAGCCTCCCTCCTCATCTCCTCCAAATCCGTCAACGCAAACGTCTGCAAGATATGTCCATATATCACCGCGTAAGCTGGGAAAATCCCACCAGCCAACAGTGCCGTGATACACCCGGCAAACACAACCAAAACCTCCGGTCGATGGATCCTCGCTATCCGTCGCCAAAAGTTCTTGCTAGGGTTTGGTTCAACATCTTCTACGTTTGCTCCGTTCTCCAAATCCGGAGGAGGGCGAATGGAGGATTTACGGGAGAGGGAGGGTTTTGCGGAGGGTGGGGGGTTGTCGGACGGGGAGGAGGGAAAGGTGGGTCCAGTTTCTGATTTCTCTGTTTCGCTGACTTCTTCTGACGCGGTCTCTTCGGCCTTCTTAACGAGCTGCTGCATATCCACCAACTTCCTGTATATTCCGTCCTTCTCCACCAAACTCCTATGATCCCCAACCT